AACCATCAACACCACCACCACCTTCATCATCACTAGCGCCACCATACGATCACCATTACTACCATCACCATCACCATTGTCGTCAACAATATCATGATTATCATCACCATTTATCACCATTGCTACCATCATCAACATTATCGTTCATCATCATCATCATCATCGCCATCTGCACCATAACCATTACTACCATCACCATCACCATTGTCGTCAACAATATCATGATTATCATCACCATTATCACCATTACTACCATCATCATCCTCATCGCCATCTGCACCATAACCATTACTACCATCACCAGCACCATTATCGTCGACTTATCATTATTACATCACCATTATCACCATTACTACCATCATCATCCTCATCGCCATCTACACCATAACCATTACTACCATCACCAGCACCATTATCGTCGACGTTATCATGATTATCATCACCGTCGCCATCTACACTACCATCACCATTATCGTCTTCATCATCACATTCCCTTTTTTCTCATCTCCTCGTTTTTCACGCATAAACCTGTTGATAATTTAACCCGTATATAAATCCCCTTGATACGTATAGACTCTGTATAAACAATAATTCCTCTACAGAAACACACAAAACTCGAACAAACACAAAAAAAACAAAAAAAACAAAAAGATACAAATACAAAATCGCCATCCATGTTTGAGTGATGGAGATACATTTTTTTTTATTATATTATTTTCGTTTTTTTTCACCTTCATCTTTTCTGTCTGTGTTTACAAGACCATCTGTCCTTGTCAATAGATAACCTTGAGAGAAAACTCGGAACTTTGAACTTTTTGTTTTGTTTACGATTTTGGGATGAGAGGAGGAGAGGGTGGAAGGGGAAGGGGAGGAGGAGGAGGAGAAGGTATGAAGAAAAGGGGGAGGGAGGGAGAGACAAGAAGAGAAGGAGTAATGGGCAAGGGAGGAGGAGGGAAGAGAGGGTGAAGAAGAAAAAGGGGGGAAGGAAGAGAAAGGGAGGGAGGGAGGGAGACGAGAAGAGAAGGAGAGGGAGGAGTGGAAGGGGAGGAGGAGGGAAAGAGAAGGTGAAGAAGAAAAGGGGAGGGAGGGAGAGAAAGGGAGGGAGGGAGAGACGAGAAGAGAAGGGGGTAAAGGGGAAGGGGAGAGGAGGGAAGAGAGGGTGAAGAAGAAAAGGGGGAGGAAGGAAGAGAAGGGGAGGGAGGGAGAGACGAGAAGAGAAGGGAGTAAAGGGGAAGGGGAGGAGGAGAGGAGGGAAGAGGGGTTATGAAGAAAAGGGGAGGAGGGAGAGAAGGGAGGGAGGGAGAGACGAGAAGAGAGGGGGGTAAAGGGGGAAGGGGAGGAGGAGGGAAGAGAGGGTTATGAAGAATAGGGGGAGGGAGGGAGAGAAGGGGAGGAGGGAGAAACGAAGAAACGGAAGAGGGGTGGAGGGGGAGGGGAGGTGGAGGGAAGAGAGGGTGAAGAAGAAAAGGGGGAAGGAAGGAAGAGAAGAGGGAAGGGAGAGACTAGAAGAGAAGGGGAGGGTGGAGAGGTAGGGGAGGAGGAGGGAAGAGAGGTGAAGAAGAAAAGGGGAGGAAGGAAGAGAGGGGAAGGAGAGAGAGACGAGAAGAGAAGGGGGTGGTAAAGGGAAGGGGAGGAGGAGGGAAGAGAGGTGAAGAAGAAAAAGGGGAAGGAAGGAAGAGAAAGGGAGGGAGGGAGGGACTAGAAGAGAAGGGAGGGTGGAGAGGTAGGGGGAAGGGAAGAGAGGGTTATGAAGAAAAGGGGGAGAAAGGAAAAGAGAAGGGGGAGGGAGGGGGACGAGACGAGAAGAAAGGGGTAAAGGGGAAGGGGAGGAGGAGGAAGAGAGGGTGAAGAAGAAAAGGGGGAGGAGGAAGAGAAGGGGAGAGGGAAGACGAGAGAGAAGGAGAGGGTGAGAGGGTTATGAAGAAAAGGAAGAGAAGGGGAGGGAGGGAGAGACGAGAAGAGAAGGAGAGGGTGGAGGGGAAGGGAAGGAGGAACGGAGAGGATGAAGGAGGAAAGGAAAGTGGAGGAAAAGAGGGAAGAAAGAAGAAGTGGAAAGGGAACAGGATAAGAATTAGAAGCGAAGGGGAGGTAAAGGGTGAAGGAAAGGAGAAGGGTAAGAGAAAGGCGAAGGTAAGGAGAAGTAGTAATACGAGAAGGGAGACAGGGAAGTAAGGAAAAAGGAAAGAAGTGAAGGGAGGAAGTTAGGAAGAAAGAAAGAAACACGAAGGAAGAAAGAAAGACGTGAAGGAAAGGAGGAAGGAAGAAAGAAAGAAGTAAGGAAAAAGGAGAGAAGTGAAGAAAGAAAAACAGAGATGAGAAGAGAAAGGGGAAAAGGAAGCAAAGAAAGGAGATGGTGAAATGTAAAAAGAGGAAAAAAATGAATACGGAAAGAGGAAAGGTTAAAAGAAGAAGAGGTGGAAAAAGTGAAAATAGAAGGATAAGAGAAGACATAGACAAAATGAGACAGAGAGATGGATAGACAGACAAACGGACAGACAGGAGACAGACACAAATAGACAGAGAAAAAAAAAAGAAAAAGAAGGATAGAGAAAGAGTTGCAGAATAAAGAGAGAGAAAAAAAATACCAAGAGATTTTCTCCAAAAATTCTAGCTTCAGGTTAGCTAAAAAAAAACGTGTAAGCTTTATTTATTACGGATTCAACTGAAAGGAATATTTAAAGAAGTGTAGGAGATAATGAATAACCGATAAAAAAGAAAAACAAACAGATTGATATAAGAGAAATTCTAAGATTTAATTCGGTTCTAAAAAGGAATATTTAAAGGTAATGAAAAAAAAAAAGTATAGATGAAAATGAATCATAGCGCAGGATTTTAATTTTACTGGAGTTAAGGTCTGGAGTAGGGAAGGAATTTTTATTTATTTATTTATTATCATTATTTTCTCATATATTAAAGAGATGATAGTGAAAATAATGAGGATAATGATTATAGTTTTAGGAATGCGTTCATTATCAAAATAATCTCAGTAAATGTTAAAAAGTAGCATTGATAATGATGATAACGATAATAGTATTATTAGTGGTGAAAATGATGTTGACTGATCTTGAGAATAAATAAAATGACAATAAAATGTGTGTAGGGAGAGATACGGAGAGAGAAAGGGAAGGAGAGGAGAGTGAGAGAGAAGAAAGGGAAAGAGAGGAGGATAGAGGAAGACATGGAAAGAGAGGAAGACAGGGAAGGAGAGAGAGGAAGACATGAAAGGAGAAGAGAAAGAAAGGGGACGAGCAGGTAGGGAGAGAACGGAAGACACAGAGAGGAACACGCTGAAGAGGAGAAGAGGAGGGTGAGGAGTAGAAGAAAAGAAAAGGAGAGAGGAGGAGGGAAGAGCTACCCTAAAGGCTCCTAGGATGACGAATGAGGAGGTGGCGTGAGAAGTGAAGGATCTCCCAAGAAGTGAAGGAGGAAGAGCGAGGAAGATGAAGGATTTTTTTTTTTTTTTTTTTGAAGTTGGTATGGAGATGGAAGGGTTAGGTTAGGAATGTCTTCTGTGATTTTCTTTTTCTTTTTTTTCTTTTTGTTTTTCTTTTTTTCTTTCTTATTGGGATAGTGTTTATTGTTATTGTTATTATTATTGTTATTATCGTTATCATTTCTATTGTTATTGTTATTATGTGTTTTTTTTTCTCTCTCTTCTCATCTCTTTCTTTCTCTCTCTCTCTCTCTCTCTCTCTCCCTCTCCCTCCCTCCCTCCCTCTCCCTCCCTCCCTCTCCTCCCTTCTCTCCCTCCCTTCTCTCCCTCCCTTCTCTTCCTCCTCTCCCTCTCTCTCCCTCCCTCCTCTCCCTCCCTTCCTCTCCCTCCCTCTCCCTCCCCTTCCTCTCCTCCCTCCCTCCCTTCCTCTCCCTCCCTTCCTCCTCTCCCTCCACATTCCTGCAAAACACAAAAGCACGATTTACCGTCACCTTCCCTTCCTTTACCTTTATACCGTAAATTCTCACGGTTAATTTGCATATTCCTTTACGTATGGGAGATATAAGGAAATGCAGCATTAACTACGGCCTTCGTATAACCTTCCTTGAGCAATTGATATAAGAAAAAGGGTTAGAGAGTTATGTTTTAATAGCGTTATTAAATTGTGGATCTTTTTTTGTCGTCGGATAAATGGGGGGAGGAGAGATGGAGGTAAAA